TAAGTATGCTCTACATTAGCTTCTTCTGTTCCATTGGTTATTATGGGTTTTGACTTTTGAGAAATATACAACAATTTAAAACCAGGTTTTGTTGTTGATTGGTTCGGTTTGTATACCATATTTTGCTAAATACATATGACAATAAATAAGACCAAAGGAGCTGGGTTAGCTCCTTTGCCAGCTAGGTTGACTTCGTCTCCTCCCCGTCTTGCGGATTTCCGTTATTCAACGGGTATATTTAAGAAGTATACGGTACTAAAACCACAACCATTGATCTTAGCTTGATCGGTTCTTCCCTAGGATTTATACATAAAAGTAAATTGTTTTGTTTAATAATTTTTCATTGCATGAACTTTCGAGACAACAAGTGGACAGGAGTGTAATGTCATCAAAAGTCAAATCAAACACTGTGAGGAACATAATAGACAACGTTGGCTTCTTTCGCAGCTGCTCAACGTTGTCTCTCCCGATGGTCCCAACACTCTCTTCTTCTTTTTTTGTCAACATTCAAACGTTGTTTAAAATAAATAAAAATGTTTAACCTTAATCATCTTTCTAGATCTTTAAATGCCTAAAACTTCAACTTAATCAGTCAGCAATCCGTCACGTTAATGATTTTGAAAGGAAGACTTTTGTTTTGTTTCGGTTAGTTTTGTTTGTTTAGTATTTTAATCACAAGATAACTCTAATTTCCCATTAGAGTTGTGTTAATTGTGTTGATTATGATTTGGCGTTCCAATTCTGATATTATTTTTATGTTGTAAATCTTAAACTGTTACGTTATTGTTCTATCTTCCTATGTGAGAAAAAAGTAAAATGTTTTAAAATTTTGACATGGATAATAATATAATTGTAAATCTATAATAATTATATTATCATTTTATTTATATTTTTCAAAAAGAAATATATTTATCTTAATAGATTTAATATGATAATGTCAAATATAGTTATAAATCTAAAAGAGTTACGTTATTATTCCATCATTTTATGAGAAAAAAGCAGATATTCTCTTAAAATTTTAAATTAACGTGGATAATAATAAATAAATGATAATTTTACTAATATGATAATGATTCGGTTTTAATCTTACCAAAAAACAAATAATGATTCTGTTTTAAAAATATATAAATTTTCTTTGTTTAGTTGTAGATATTGTCATATAAAAAATTCTTAGATCCTCCACTGCCTTAATTTTATGTAAATACCTTGCTTGATATTTAATTTTGATTTGATATCATAACTAATCCTTGCTTTTTTTTTCGGCACTAACCATTGAATTTTTTATACTGCCATTTAATTCTTGCATAAAAAATAATAATTAATAGTAGTGTTTATTATGAATGCAGGTTTGTTTTCCATAAAAACTAGATTGGATTTATGGAAGCACGTCATTGTTTCCAGTGCGAGGAAACAAATGTCGTATCACTGCTGTTGTGGCTCTTTAGTACTTTCGTTTCTGTTTATGGCTTTGCTTCGGTTGTATGGTTAGTCATCAATCATTGATCTTCTCATTGTTTGAATATTGTTGCATAGGAAAAATCTTCTTTTTTTATGAATCTTTCAAAAGTTGGGTCCATGCTATTCTCAGTGATTGATTACGTTTATTGAATATTTGTGTGCTTCCTCTGCTGATATTCTAATTCATACTTTATTCGTCGTCTTTGATACACTCTGATTAACCATTGTGGACCTCTAGAGTCTAATTTGCAATATTAATGCAAGTCTCTTTAACTTACGGATTATGAAGAGCATCCTAAGATCGTTTAATTTGATTCAGGCTTTATGTGGCTAATGTTTGGTCTTGGATGTGAATTAGTCTATCATGTTTCTTGGAAGGTAGGAAGCAATCTTGATGTTTACCAAAATCCAATGTGCTCTTTTGTAGCTCAGTTTTGAAATATGTACTAATTATTGTAGAGGGAACCCGAAACAAAGAGTCCATATGTATGATTTTATATGCGAAGAGAAGCTCCAAATTTGAAATCGTCTCCACTCCGGTGATATGTGGCCATGGTGTGAAGGAGTCTGGAGCCATGGTTATTTAAGATTCGGACATAACCGTAATTGTTAAACTAATAAAAATAAGATCAAACGTACCGGATTGATGAGAATTTTTGGTGTTCTTCGTCATGTTCTTCGTCGTATGGATCTAACAAAACAAAAAAAAAAATATATACCCCAGAATTTTTTTTTGTTTGTTAATAGAGAGAACCCACCAATTTTATAGCGTTGATTGTGACATCGAATTGTTTGTCGGATGAATATAAGTCTCTAATCCGGAGACTGAAGTTGAACCCTAACAAAAACATATATTCATAGCATAAAATTCATAAATAAAAGGTAGAGCATCACATAGCTTTTTCTTCAAAGCCAACACATCTCTCTTTGTAGCCGAATTACTCTCCAGTTTGGTATATACTCAAATTTTCCAATGACTTCCTTCTCGAACCTGGAGCGTTTTTGCTTTGCCGGATATTTTTAGGATATGGCTCTTATGTATCTCTTGTGAGTCACTTGATATGTTGTTTAGGTAAAACTTTTGGTTTGAAAGAGAATGATCTACGACAAGCATAATCGGTTATTTGTTATATATGTGGCCATGTTCATATTGCTTTCTCCACAAGCAATTTTCCAGTTTTGTAGCATTCGATATTTAAATTTAAAAGCTTCAATACGTTGTATACATGTGTATGTATGTACATATATGAATTATTCTCAGTTGCACATAGTGGTTTCTAAGGGATAGATACTTGCTCTTTGTAACCCTCTCATTTTTAGTACCTATCTTCAGTGTTTACTTTGCTAAGAGCTTCTTGATAGGCATACATCTTTGCAATCTCAGATCAATATACTACAAATACATATACGATACAGTTAAGAAAATGATATTTCTCTTACAACTTTTTATATGGGTTTTATAAACAAGAGATCAACTGAAGGGTTACGCAGCGACCAATGGCGAAGGTAGAGACAAAGATACTACAATAGGGACGATAAATATGACACGATATATACAAAGGAGATGCCTGTTTCTATACCATTGAAATTTTACGTACATAACTACTTCAGAGAGCAAGATGACTTGATAGGTAAGAGATATGGTAAGAGATTATATTTTTCAATTATTTGTTTCCAACTACGAAAAACTCCAGTAACATACAATCTAAAAGCATGAATATGTCATAAAATCAAGAATACAACAAAAACCAGGAAGATGGGCCCAAATTAAAGTCCGAAACTGGACGTGGGGAACCCACGGACAGTGGCGGTCGGAACGTTACAAATATGAAAGAAACGAGGAAGCGTGAATATGTCATAAAACCAAGAGTACTACAAAACCAAGAAGATGTGCTCAAAGAACGAAACTGGACGTGGGAACCCACAGACAGTGGCGGTCGTGGCATTACAAATATGAAAGAAACTAGTAAGCATGAATATGTCATAAAATCAAGAGTACGACAAAACAAAGAAGATGGGCCTAAAGACCGAAACTGGACGTGGGGAGCCCACGGACAGTGGCGGTCGGGGCGTTGCTAATATGAAAGAAACGAGTAAGCATGAATATGTCATAAAATCAAGAGTACGACAAAACAAAGAAGATGGGCCTAAAGACCGAGACTGGACGTGGGAACCCATGGACAGTGGCGGTCGGGGCGTTGCTAATATATTGTTGGTTTAAATATATAGATTTTTTATATTTAATTCTATTATATATATCAAGATATAAACACTAATAATTGTTTGTGATTCAAAAACACTATTAAAATATTGATTACTAATAATATATATCAAAAGTTATAGCGTTTTACCATAATTCTATATTAATGTCGTTATAAAAATTAGACTCTTGACAAAATTAATTCAATAAATATCCCTAACTTGATAACCCTAAATATTAATTATTAATTCTGGTCTTAATCAACATACAACCCCGCGCTGGGCGCGGGGACCTCCCCTAGTACCCATTGTAAATAGTCTAAGCATTGTAAAAGAAAATTAAAAAATCACAAGAGAAAGAGATATGGACTAGATTTTCTAACTACACATACAGTGCCGGTCCGAGCATTTGTGAGGCCCTACACGAAAAATAAAATGAGGCCCAATATATTTATAAGTTTTAGGGCTAAAATTTTTTTTTTGACCTATTTTTAGTAAATTATACAAAAATAATGATATTTTGAATATTATTACTTTCAAATTTAATTGTTTGGGCCCTATTTTATTTATTTTTTTCGAAAAAGACTTTAGTTTCTACCAAATATTTTCATTTTATGGGCCTTTTTACCAAAAAAAAAAAAAAAAACCTTAAAAAAAAAAAAAAAAATTGTGGTGCCCCAAGCCACCGCTTGGGTGGCATGTCCTGCGGGCCGGCCCTGTACACATAGGCGTGACCACGGTTACGGTTATTATGGTTACGGTCGATTAACCGTCGGTTACGGTTATAAATTTTCTTTAACCGTAACCTTAACCATTATATATACGGTTAAAACGGTTACGATTAAATACGGTTACGGTTACAACGGTTACGGTTAAATACGGTTACAGTTATTTGATGATTACGATACGATTAATATCGGAGGTAAAATCTTACGAGTTACCTAACTTTTTATACTACTTTGAATAGAATAAAAAAGTATGTTATAAACAAATTTTCTTCATTTTTAGCAATCTAGCATTAGAACATATTTGTTTGAGAAAAAAAACTATTTTTCCTAACGTAGATTTTTTAATGTGCGGTATCATTTACTTTTTTTGAAAATCTTTATCTGAACATTCGAAATTTGTTTTTGCATCATCCGCAGCTACAATCATATTTTGAAAGTTTTAACTATGCGGTTAATAGTGCGGTTAACCGTGCGGTTAACCGTACGGTTAACTAACGGTTTTGACACGTTTACGGTTAATTGACGGTTACGGTTAATATATTTTTTAACCGTAACTAATCTGTTTTGACGGTTAACGGTTACGGTTTTTAACCGTTTTATACGGTTACGGTCCGGTTACGGTTGAAAAACGGTTCGGTTACGGTCCGAAATACGGTTACGGTTAGCTTTTGGTCATGCCTAACTACACAACACTACATCACGAATCAGAGTTTACATATATCTGAAAATTCCTGGTCTGGGATGGGTTTGGGTTGATCCTAGAACCAGAACAAGATTTTACTAGACTTCGTTTGCGTTCTTCAAGATATTAAACTTGCAGAGCGGGCAACGCGAGTTTATGTGAAGCCATTTATCGATGCAAGCGCAATGAAAGTGATGGTTACAAGGGAGTTCTCTTAGTTCAACTCCATCTTCATATTCACAGAGACAAATGCAGCATTCCTTCAGAATCATAAGAAGCCATGAGTTTATCAATCTACACACTTTGAAAATGTACAACTGCATAAGAATGTGGAAATGTGAGTGTACCGCGTCTTCTGGAGAAAGTGATCGTTCAATAGGTGAATCTGTTCCACATTCTGTCATTATTCCCCGTGCTTTGCCTGAGAGCTTTTCATCATTGCCAATTTTTGTAAATCTGAATTTCGGCATTTGATCTATGTCGTTCTTCGATGCTCCCTCCTGTTTTTACATCACAAGATAATAAATGTAGATCATAGATGAAAGAACATTTTGTTACGGGAAAAGAGCTTACCTGGTCGGCAACAGCATATAGAATTGCAATTATACATGGAAGACAACAGCAAACAGCAAGGCCGATAACACAAGCCAGTGCAACACAGAACACAACAAAGAAAACATCGAAACCGAGAAAAATGATACACAGCCTGCAAGTCAAAAACATCAAAGTACAAGTTGTTTAAATAACTCCCACAAAGATACAACTTCAATGAGACTCTAAAAAGAAGCATACCAATAGAGCTGAGGAGAGTCACCAGATAGTGTTTGGCCTCCTGCAGATACCCAATAGAATCCAATTATCCACCAGATGAATGAGAACATCGTATTGGCTGATTCTAGATGCTTCGCGGGATTACTGAGACCATCAACATTGTGGATATGGAAGCAAATGAATATTTCAGAGACAGGAAACTCAGACACACAATAAACAAGGATCAAAATAACGTAAACTATCTAACTCTGCAACAAGATCAATTGCAACAATGTTCCACATCAAGCTTGAACTTCTAACATTACAAGAACATAAGCTTGATATCAATATTCACCAATATGAAAAAAGTCACACAAAAAGTAACATTGATTCACAGATACAATAAGCATCAACTAACATTAACCTAAAAACCTAGATTCCACATTCCAAATCTATATACAGTAAACACAATTTCATCTCCAGCTTCTTCTAATTCCAGATCAATCTAATCCAATATGAACCAGAATTGTTAAAACGAAATCAGATATTGTACCTAGTCTCTCCTCTATCCTCCAATTGCGCTAACGAAACATATTGCTGCTGCGAAGAATTCGTAAACCCAGGACCACCACCATCCTCCGATGAAGATCGGTGACGTCGCCTTCTCCTCCGCCTATACTCAACACAAACACAAGCCATATGTAACCAACACTGAATCCCATAACCAACAACCCAAACTCTCAACGGCATATTAGGCTTCTCGTCACGGCTAAGTATCAGAACAGCAACACCGATCGCAACAAAAGCTAGATTCCACAAAATGTCAAGAAACACCACAGGTTTAGAATACGCCCAATCACTTTGTCTCTCTTCTAATTGCTCCGCCGCAGTTTCTCTAACGAGCATCGATGGTTCACGCACCATTCTCCGGCTACCAGCGTGACGGAGGAACCTCGCTGCTTCTCTTAGGCCTTGTCGTCTAGCGGATCGATGAATCGGATTGGATTCTTCATCTACGCTTATGGTTCTTGTAACGATGGGAGGAAGAAATGGTGTAGTGTCGATGATTCCGTCGGAATTTGATCTGCCGATGTGAGTAGGTAGAGATGATGAATCTGATTCTGTTGTTGTGTTCGTCGTCGGTGATGATGACGACATTGTGAAGCTTTAGCGATTCTCAATTTTGATCGATTATTGCCATGGATTGAGATTTGTTCTTAAAAAAGGGTTTGGAGATTTTGGACGTACAAAATTTTGCAGAAAAGTGTGTGAGAGAGAGAGATAAAGAAACGATAACGTGAACCAGCCTAATAACAAAATAAACCAAATAGTAGATCCGAAAACAGACTTGTCATGAAACCATAAATCATTTTTTTTTTTTTTTTGTATATATGGATCATACAATACATCATTGATCCATATATCAACAAAACTAACCCTAATAATTATGTTTACCAATCTTCTTCTACGTCCATACCAGGAAGCACTTCCCAGTTGCTGCTGCGTATGTATGGAATTTTCTGGTACTCTTTGATGTGATAGTTTCCATCAACATTTGTCTGGTCCTTGTACTGTCTCTCCTCTTCTTCAATCAATGTTGCTGCAAACGATCCAACCGGAGGATACATTGGGACATTGTTGGTTTGTGTATCAGCTACTGCAGCATATGCTTGACTCTGAACTATCTCTCTTATGATTTGCATCTTTCGGATCTCGTCTTGGTTCATCTGATTTCTTTGCCATCCATCGTTAGCCCTGAACTGCGGTGATATGTTAAAGTTTCCTTCTCCCACTCCCACGCCACCAATTCCTATCGAAGTAATGGTTTTTTTCTTTCTTTCAAGTCTCTCACTCAAATAAAAAAATGATTAGCGTAAGGTCAGAGGTAAAGTACCTTGAGAATAATGATGATGTTGAAGGCCATAGTTGACATTAAAGCCAACTGTCTGGCTGTGGCTGTTGTGAGATGAGTTATTGTTTTTAAAGCCGATATCGAAGAAAAGAGATTCTTCTACCGGGAAAGGGACGTTGTAGAGTTTGGACCAGAAGCTATTAGTCAGAAGTTTCTCCAAGTTCTTTTGCAGAACTCCGGGAGGAAAATGAATTGTATGTCTCCTGTTAAATAGAAAATGTAAGGCTTTGACTCACTTTCAACATTACTCAAAGCAAAAAAAATGATCCAAGTTAAAGCTGGAAACCTGCAAGTAGAAGCCTGATTGTCGGTGAAATCGCGATCCAACTGTTTCCATTGAGTGTGTTTTCCTGCCTGTGGATTAGTCTCTATGAAGAATGTTGGACGTTTTCTCAACTGCAAATAAACATTTCAAAGGTCATTAATCAAGGCTCATAACTAATTACAAAATGTACATGAGTATGTTTAGTACCTCGATTTTGAGGATTCCAGTTTCATCATGTGTATAAATACTCTCTTCAAAAGATGAGACATCATTCCATTGAATCTCGATCTTTCTTTTCAGCCTTGGCATGTTAGTTTCTTCTTCTCCGAAGAGAAACTCCCATATAAGTTTCTTCTTTGCAAAATAGAATTTTGCCACAATATCTTCAGGGTTTATTGCAACGGGGGTCCATGTTCCAATTTTGATCATGGAGATTGGGAAATTCATAGCTTTTAGTTTCTCAGAACTCTTAGGAAGAGTTGAGGTCTTTGAGTTCTCTATTTTTTGATGAGGACATGTGTAGTTTCTATTGAGGTAAGTTTCAATCTTGTTGATAAGCTCCGGAGTCGTTGTTAGAGGCAAGTTTAGAAGTGGAACCTGAAAAAACATTGAGAATAAATCATAACAGTGCATTCCAAATATTAAAGCCAAATCTTATTATATAAAATATGGTTTTCAAATTTTGACACTGTAGATAAAAAATTTTCCTTTTATTTATTTTTTAAAATATTATAAGAAAACTATACGTATATATCTTATATCAAACAATCTAAAAATCTAAAGAAGATAATTATAAAGAAACTATATACATATTTTTAAAAATATTAAAAAGATAATATAAGAAAACTATACGTATATCTTATTATCTAAAAATACAAATTATAAAATTATTTACTAATTCTAATTTAAGTACTAATTCTAAAAGATATATATTATTTTCTTAAAAATAATGAGAAAAAAGTATTTAGGAAAATACTAATTAAAAATAATTAATAAAACACGATAATTAAGAAACTTATACAAATAATTATTAATCTTAAAAGAAAAATTATACTCATTTCTAAACAAACATAGACTGTTTCCTAATTTTTCACCAAACAAAATAGTTTCTTCAAAAACACCACCACTGCTCCTATTTATTTAGTACTTTTTTATAAATACATCATCAATTATTGATGTGTGATATATTTTAATGAAATTTCTTAAAATACCACGCTTTCAAGTTTTTTTTTTGTTGCCGAAAATACTACTATTAGTATAATGTTCGAAAAATACCATAAAATTTTTTTGGTTTTCCACTATTAAATTTGTAAAGAAATGTAAATAAAACGACGGTTTGATATGTGGTTTATATGTGAAATATTTCATGAAGAAGTTGTGGAATCATATTTTACGCAAAAGTCTAGAGAATATTTTCTAACAATTTAAAACCCTGAAACCCTAATTCTTCTCCAGATCATGCTTAAACTATCTAAAAAAAGTTACCAAAGAAAAAACAAAATAGAGGATGAAACAAAATGAAGAAGAGAGTACGAGACAACAGAGAAAACACGAGAAACAAAGAGGAAAGAGCAGAGTAGAAACAGAGTTCGACGCAGAAAAACATAAAGAATTGAGAAGAGAAGACGATACCTCATCAACAAATATGTTATTGCGGCCACCTTGAGATTCTTCTCGTGATCTCTTCATGGAAATACCTATCTATTTTCTCTTTGTTGCTTTAGCTTTTCTTTACCACTGCATATTCAGATTTGCCTCGTAAAGAATATATATAGCACGTTTTTTTGGGTTACCTAGATCAACGAACCCACATTAAACAAAATATGGGCCTTACGTTTTATCTAGCCCATAATAAATGGGCTTTTCTTTTCTAAAATAATAATAAAACTAAGATTAATCCTAACTGTTCATGATGCTTAATTAAGCTCAGCTATGGCTTCTTCTTCTTCGACGCCTCAATGTTTCGTGTATAAACCTATCTAGTCTACCATGGCGGCAAAATCCCAGAAAACCCTCATTCTACTAGCAAATCTAATCAAGGTTCCTCCATTAAAAGCTTTCTCTCTCTTAAATTCTCCAAATTTCCATGGATTTCAACACACACACGAATCCATATCAATCCTTCTTCGTCTCCTTCTCTCTGGAAACTTATACTCTCACGCTCAATCACTTCTCCTTCAAGTAATCTCCGGAAAAATCCAATCCCAATTCTTCACATCTTCCTCTCTGCTACACTATTTGACAGAATCAGAAACGTCAAAAACCAAGTCTCGTCTCTACGAGGTAATCATCAATGCCTATGTTCAATCTCAATCCCTAGATTCATCAATCTATTACTTCAACGAAATGGTCGATAAGGGTTTTGTTCCTGGATCGAATTGCTTCAACAATCTCTTAACTTTCGTTGTTGGGTCTTCTTCTTTCAATCAATGGTGGTGTTTCTTCAACGAGAGCAAAATCAAAGTTGTTTTGGATGTGTATAGCTTTGGGATTGTGATCAAAGGTTGTTGTGAAGCTGGTGAGATTGAGAAAAGTTTTGATCTTCTTGTTGAATTAAGAGAGTTTGGGTTTTCTCCAAACGTTGTTATCTACACTACTTTGATTGATGGGTGTTGCAAGAAAGGTGAGATTGAGAAGGCGAAAGATTTGTTTTTTGAGATGGGGAAGTTCGGATTAGTGGCTAATGAGTGGACTTACACGGTTTTGATTCATGGGTTATTCAAAAATGGGATTAAGAAACAAGGGTTTGAGATGTACGAGAAGATGCAGGAACATGGTGTTTTCCCTAATCTCTATACTTATAACTGTGTGATGAATCAGCTTTGTAAAGATGGAAGAACAAAAGATGCATTTAAAGTGTTCGACGAAATGCGTGAGAGAGGGGTTTCGTGTAATATTGTTACTTATAATACTTTGATTGGTGGGTTATGTAGAGAGATGAAGGCGAATGAGGCAAATAAGGTTATGGATCAGATGAAGAGTTATGTAATCAACCCGAATCTGATTACGTATAACACTTTGATTGATGGGTTTTGTAGTGTGGGTAAATTAGGGAAGGCGTTGAGTTTATGCAGAGATTTGAAGTCAAGAGGTTTGTCTCCGTCTTTGGTTACGTATAATGTTCTTGTTTCCGGGTTCTGTAGAAAAGGAGATACTTCAGGAGCAGCTAAGATGGTTAAGGAGATGGAAGAGAGAGGGATTAAGCCGTCGAAAGTAACATACACGATTCTTATCGACACATTTGCTCGTTCAGATAACATGGAGACAGCAATTCAGCTTCGATCTTCAATGGAGGAACTAGGATTAGTCCCGGATGTTCATACATATAGTGTACTGATTCACGGGTTTTGTATCAAAGGTCAAATGAATGAAGCGTCGAGGCTTTTTAAGTCGATGGTCGAAAAGATGTTAGAACCGAACGAGGTGATTTACAATACAATGATTCTTGGGTATTGTAAGGAAGGTAGTTCTTATAGAGCATTGAGGTTGTTCAGGGATATGGAAGAGAAAGAGTTGGCTCCAAATGTTGCTAGCTATAGTTATTTGATTCGAGTTCTTTGTAAAGAAAGAAAATTGAAAGAAGCAGAAGATTTGGTTGAGAAGATGATTGATTCAGGGATTGATCCATCTGATACAATCTGTAATTTGATCTCTAGAGCCAAAACTGATTCACCTGTAGCTCAAATAATTGATGCGAGCAGTTTTAATCTGAATTAATGTACACAGTTGGTGTGAAAATTGTTTGAATTATCTTCTATACATAAGTTTTCTTTTCATTAGATATTGCAATTGTCCTTCAACATTTTCAATACGATAACTTTAGATAATTAGGCCTGGGCAAAAACTCGAAACCCAAAATCTAAACCCGTACCCGAACCAAAAAACCCGATCTGAATTCCGTTAAGTGTAAAATACCCAAATGGGGGATGGTGCCTTGGTACCTAGGTTGCATGGAATCAGAAGCGGATATGAGGAAGCGAAGCGTTAAACATTAAACATTATATCATATAAAAAATTATAATTAACATACAAATCTAATACATAAATTCCAAATATCTCTCTATATTTAAAAATCAAATAGTGTACGTTTACAATAGAAAAAAGTCAAATAGTTCAAAGTCAAAAATTTCTTATTTCTTATTTATTTTGTGACATCAAATTTTTTAAATGGAAGCGCAAGCTTCCAAAATAGAATCGTAAACTTCCAAGGAGCTTCCAAAATGAATTTTTTAGAAGCGTTATGGAAGCGAGATTCCGAAAGCTTCCGAGAGCTTCCGATTCCGACTAAGATTCCGAAGCGGGAAGCGGACTTCCGACGAAGCTTCCGTGCTTCCTAGCTTGGTACTTTGGTAGTACTTGAAAAACATCCTAGATTATAGGTAATTCATATATTTTTGAGTGTTTAAGGGGAGTTTAGGTAGTTTTATTACCGGATTTTTTCAGGTAATTCATATAGTTTCGAGTATTTTTGTAGAGTTTGGGTAGTTTTTTTCTCGGGATTTTAGAGTAATTCAAATATTTTCAATTACTTTCGGCTACTTTCAAGCAGTTTGAGTTGGTTTTTATCGGTTTTTTTTTCTAGATATTTTCGAGTACTTTTAAACAAAAAAATTTCCGGATAGTTTGAAATAAACCGGACCGGAGAGAAACCGAATCCGAACCGAACTCGACTCGAATATATAAAATATTGAATATATAAAATCCAGCCCTTTATCATGTTGTTGGCAAAGTTTCTAAAATATGTCAGTTTCAAACTATAAATTATAGCCGTTATATCTTACAAACGTATAAAATATTCTCCCAAAACATTTCTTTCATGAAACCAAAAGAAAAAATTCAAACCAAAAAAATTCGTATTGGCATATATTTGTAGAAACAAAAAATGTATCACGATTCACGAGTGTATTATGAAACCAAACTAAATATTCCGAAGCATATTCCTCCGTTATTAACAATTTAAGATTTGGTCATAAAGAAATTACAAACTTCCTAATAATCTCGAATTAATTGCGTTTACTAATTTTTAAACTCCTGTTGAATCCCAAAAATTTACAAACCCTCATAATCAATCATATATATATATGGGTATGTGTGAGTACTTGGAGAAAATAACCAACAAAATATTTAAAAGAAAAGTCATTGTCGAAAAATGTTTTGGGTGAAGCTTTTTGTTTTAGTGGCTTTGGTGTTAACAAGTTGTGTTGCGAAGCCTGCTGCAATTAGAGAGTTATCTGAAGAAGAAGATTTTGAATTAGAGAGACAACTTAAGCTTTTAAATAAACCACCGGTTAAGACCGTCGAGGTTAGAACTGTGTTTTTTTTCCTCATTATTTCTAATAAAATGTTTATTATCATTGATCGTAAGATTTATGCTTTTACATATGTGAATTTTAAATTCTTTTTATTAATTTTATTGTAATGAAAAGATTAATGTTGAATTTGTTTTGCAGACCGAATATGGACATATTTATGATTGTATAGATTTTTATAAACAACCTGCGTTTGATCATGCTCTATTGAAAAACCATGATTTTCATCCTGAGGTAATATTATTTCTTTCATAAAATTTGAATAAAGATTATGCCATGAGTTGCTTCATTTTAATTTTTTATAAATTAAAAACTCGATTATTTAACAAAATTTATAGATGAAACCAAGCAAAGTGAATAGACCAGAAAAGGTTGAGACTGCAGAAAAACGAAAACGAAAACGAAGTCATAACAACAAAACAAAGGCTGTTACTTTGAAAGGAGTTGGATGTCCACATGGCACAGTCCCAATTAGGAGAACTACAAAAGAAGACCTTATAAGATTAAAAACATTCAATGAAATGTTCGACTCAAATATACATCCTCAAACCAACTCTGAACCGGGTTTGCATGTATGTATAGTCCAATGCATTATGGTTTATTTCACTTAGTTGCATTCAAATATTTTAAATTTTTACAATTGTGATATTTCAATATAGTATGCAGGAGGTAGAGTCCGACCAGAGTGGATAAAGAAGAGCATCGGAGGAGCAGATGGTCATTTCACTTTATACCAAACTCCATATGTTAACCAACTTCAATTCTCTTCCGGTTTAATAAAAGTATCCAACGGTACAGATTTCATCAAGGCTGGTTGGACGGTATAACATCATTTTAATATCTATGAAATAAATTACTTTTACATAAACAAATTAGTAATAGTAAAATGCGTAATTTTTTTTTTTTCATTACATTTTACAGGTGAATCCGACGCTATATGGAGATGATCGTTGCCGGTTTTTCGCATATTTGCATGTAAGATATATAAATGCCATTAAAATGTTTTTTTTTCTTTGTAGTATTGTTACATTTTTACGCACATTAAAATTTGCATGGCAAGTGAAGTGCTGCTACTGATTACGTAAAAACATTACATGAAATCAACATGTAATTGATATCAAATTGTAATTTTAATGTATAGACGCGTGAGCAACACTGTTTCAACACGAACTGTCCCGGTTTTGTGATAGTGAATACCGATATTCCTCTTGATTATGCCTTTCCCGAAGTTTCACAAACCGGAGTTCATATGGTCGAAGCGAGATTTTACATTTTCCGAGTAAGTTCAACTATTAAACTAATGAGTTTATAGATTTGTCAATTTATTATGATTCTAAATGGGAACCATACAATAGTATTCTTTACAAAACTTGAATTTTT